TTTTGACGATGAATGCAACACCATTCCTTTTCAATTTGTCATTCCCGGCATAGTAAACCATGTGGTTGTCAGATTCAAAATGGCCAATACCAGTCCATTTTAGCTCACTAATGCCTTTATCCTCTTCTATAAGACTTAATAAAAAGTCTCTATAATAAAATCTCTATACATATTATAGAGACTTTTTATTAAGTCTTATAGAAGAGGATAAACAAGACAAGACAAATGTAGACCACCTGGTTGAAAAAAAATCACCAGCATGATGGCATGATGAAAATCCAAAGTTCTAGGTCCATGCGGGGACCTCTCACAGGGCACAGAGAACAAAGGAATCTCCTCCCACAACCATGACTGACAGCAGACTGGCAAACAAAACTGTGAAACAGAGAGTTTGTTGTTGTTATTTAGGTGCCATCAAGTCAGTTCTGACTTATAGTGACCCTATGCACAATAGAATGAAACACTGCCCAGTCCTTCACCATTCTTAACAATTGTTACATTTAAGTCTATTGCTGCTATTACTGGGCTAATCTAATTAATTTGGATCTTTCTCTTTTTCACTGACTCCACTTCACCAAGCATTATGTCCTTCTCCAGAAACTCATCCCCCTTAATAACATGTCTGAAGTATGAGAGACAAAGTCTGCTTTCTTAGGAGCCTTTTGGATTTACTTCTCCCAACACAGATTTGTTCTTCTGACAGTCCATAGTACTTTTAATACTTCAACACCGCAATTTTAATACTTTTAACACTGTAGTTTTAATACTTCAACACTGCAATTCACATACATTGATTCTTCTACCTTCTTCCTTTTCATTGTCCAACTTTCCATATACATATGAGGCTATTGAAAATACCATGGCTTGGGTCAGGCACACCTTAGTCCTGATCCTTTAACATTTTAGAGAGTCCTTCTGCAACAGATTCCTCTAATGTAATATGTCCTTTGATTTCTTGACTGCTGCTTCCATGAGTGTTGATTGTGAATCCAAGCAAAAGAAGTCTTTGGAAACTTCAAAATTTTCTCCATTTATCATGATGTAATTGATTGCTCCAGTTGTGAGGATTTTTGTTTTCTTTACATTGAGGTGCAATCCATACTAAAGGCTATATGTAGTCTTTTATCTTTGCTTTTAACAAGCAAGGTTGTACCATATGCATATCACAGGTTGCTAATGAGTCTTCCTCCAATCCTGATGCCACATTCTTCTTCATATAATCTATCTTCTCTGATTACTTTATTCAGCATACAGACTGAATAAGTAAGGTGAAAGGATATAACTCTGCTGTACACATTTCCTGATTTTAAACCATTCAGTATCCCCTTGTTCTGTTCAAACAACTGTTTCTTGATCTAGGTCTAGGTTCCAAGCAGGGAGGGACTGTTGTAAATACAGAAGCTTACAGACTGTCCTGTGGTATCACACCACAACCAGGAGACCCTGGCAGCCATTAAGGAACATGCCCAGGAAAGTTCCAGCAAAGCAGTTTCTGTTCTTTATGTGCTGGCTCGAGAGAGGAGGGGCCAGCTGATCCCACATTGACTTCTAATAGGCTCTGCTTCTGACTTTGACAGTTCAGCCATCAGAGGTGCATAAAGTACTCAAGACAAAACTGGCATCTGAAAACTTCAACCTAGGCACAAGATGGAACTTGTTGGAACTTGCCTGGCTGGAGTGCTTTGTAACACAAATGCCTTTAGATTTCATGCTGGAAAGCATATTTTAACTTTCAGCATTCTCACTCCTCATTCTCCCTGGAGTAATCACCATACTTAGTCCTCTGTTTTGGCCTACATGGCAAGTTTCTCTTTCTGTCACCACACTAAGTCTTCTCTTCTTCTACCTCCAGGTATACTCTCACATTTAGTCCTTGTTCCTCTTCTAGATCTCTCACCTTGGTCATTTCTTTCAATACTCTTGGCTTTAGCTATTGCTGTCTGTCCCTCATATTGTGACCCTCCCTTTCTCACAGCTGAAAGGTAGCAATATATTCTTCTTATTGGTTTTCCACTTCCATCTTCTCCTTGCTTCAACTAATTTCAAACACAGTCACTTGATTTTTTTCCCCCAAGCATAGCCTGATTATGTTACTGTCACAGTCAAAAATCTTCCAGAATTCCTCATTAGCTACCAGACTGAAATTTATCTCCATTTCAACCAGAATTACTCATGTTTTATTTGTTTTAGATATTGAGATTCTATATAAGATTTCCTTTTTCAAAAGTGTCTAGAACAGTTTTCTCCATAAATTTAATGCTTAAATCAAACTACAAAATATGATTTAAAAAAACATCAAACAAACGAATGTCTAATTAGTAAAATAAAACCAATTATATAAAAGCAATCACTTTTAAAGTCATTTTTAAACAGTGTTTTTAGTTGCTGAACTAAGAGGAGCAATTATATAAGTTACTGTTAAGGCAAGTGTTATTGCTGTTTTGAAACTCAACATTGTGAATTGAGTGAAGGCTTACAGAGCAGATCTCATCAGTTTTACAGTCAACAAATCATACACGTTGTTTCATCTCAATGATTGCAATCCCCTCCATGTAACAATAGTTATCCCACTTCCTCCCTGTGTTTATTTCTATTTCACCCTCCATCCCAACTCTTCTGAGTTGTGTCCTTTGTCAAATGTTGCCCTTTTGATCTTGAATGGTTGGTCACAGTATGGTGAGCATACCTGACTAGTTGTTCTTGACCTCCATATACCTATCTACTACTGCTTGGCTGAAAATCAATCAATGAAGGTAAGTTCCATTCCAGACCTGAAGGATGGACATAGTCTCAGGTTCTTCCAGTCTCTTTCTGCCCAGTAAGCCCAGTCTTTTTTTTCATATTTGTATCCCACTCTATCCAGGACTTTCTAATGTGATCCCTTTCAGAGCAGTTGGCAGTAGTAGCCAGGCATCATCTAGTTCTTCTGGTTTCAGAGTCATGGAGACTAATGTTCACATATTCCATTAGTCCATTGGACTAATTGATTTTAAGCATCTTCAATGTTCATCACTCTTCTTTCTTCAGCACATGGAGAGACTACTAGTTGCACCTTAGATGGTTGCTCATAAGCTTTTAAGATCCTAGTTGCTACTCACTAAGGTAGGATGTAGAACATTGTCTTTGGGGACTATGTTATGCCAGCTGACCATGGTGTCCCCTGAGACTATGATCCTGGACACCCAGGCTCAGCAACTTATAAGACAAACATTCTAGCAAATAATTTTCCAATATATTGATAAAGGGAGGAAATTAGTATATTTATTGAAAACTGCAAAATTAGCATGTTGATAAATACTAAAATTATTTCTTCAACAAAGCCAGAGTACGTTTTGGGTTTTTTTCACTTCAACTTGTTAAAGAGTTATTTATTAAATTAGGAAGTAGATAATTATTTACTATTTTATGTAATCAATATATGTTTGCCTTGATTTTTAGGCATTTTTCTGTGGACACTCTTGGTAACTGATTGGGTAACAATTGCAATGGTATTTATGTGGAAGAAAGATGAGGCTTTCTGGTCCAAAGATTTATAGCCTCAGAAATCCTAAACAGGGTCTCTGTGAGTTGGAACTGACTCTATAGCACATGACAACAACATTTGTTTTATTAGAGAATTAAAAATAGCTTAGAAAATATCTAAATGTATCAATGACTTGGTGCCACATGACAAGAGAAGATGATCTTTAAGGTAGTATTGGCCTTCATAATATGTTGTTGTTGTTAAGTGCCGTCGAGTTGATTCCTACTCATAGCAACCCTGTTATAGGGTTTCCGAGGAGCAAGCAGCTGGTGGGTTTGAACTGCTGACCTTGTGGTTCGCAGTCCAGTGCTAATCCTGTAGCGTGACAACAGGAATCCTCATGATATGTATCATAGCATTATAAGATGAATTAGGTTTTGGATTTAGAGAAATTTTTTCATAATATCAAAATATTTTCACAGAAAATCCACCCTAAAGGCTATAGTCTTTAATCGAGATCTCCATTTCTTCTTTCTGAATCTTCAGGGTGATGTTGGCGATCCTGGAATGCCTGGGGGTCCTGGACCCAAAGGATTCAGGGGACTAACTGTAAGTGGTCTATAATTCAAGAAGTAATAAACATTTCTTTGAAAGACTCTGACTTTTATGTTGTAATAATAATTGTGGCTTATTGATCCAACCCAAGGGCAACTGAAATGCCGAGAGCTTAGCTGTGTGACCTTCAGCACACCTTTTCTAGGTCTTGGTTTCTATGACATGAGAGCTGAACTAAGTGACCTCTAGGTAGTTTTCAGCACTAAAAATCTGAGGGCCCATGAATCTGAATAGTTGTAAAGATTTACAAAGTGATGACTGGTGGTTTCAAGAACTGTCAGTGGCTTCTAGTTGTTTCAAAGGCATATATTAAAATCCCAGAATATTAGTCCTGTGTGTGTAAATAAAGCTGTCATCACCCCACTCCCTCTTCTCTGAGGTTTTTTTTTTTTTTTGATGATTCCATTATCCATAACCAAGGTCATTTTAAGGAAGGCTGTTGAGAACTTCTAATTAGCAAAATGCAGAGTAGAATATTATTATGCATACTTTAAAAAAATGCTGAGACAAGCAGCATTCATTTTAAACTTTGAGCACAATATCAGTAGTCATTATCAGCATGAAAGAGATGCAATTAACAAATACTCTCCATCTGGCTGGGTAAATTTCATTGACATCCATATCTATCACCTTGAGGTATGGGAATGATACAGCCCACCCATGTCTTCTTACAGAAATGGGAAATCATTTTCCTTATTTGATCATTTGCAGAAAGGCAGGTTTATTTTTGACACTTTAAAATGAAATAAAGCTTTTAAGTATGAATCTTTTAAGATCTCTGTGTGCTCTAGTATATTTGTTTTGCCCATTAGCTCCAATGGCAGTTTGTGACTGATTTAGATTTAAATTCCAGAACAAAGTCTGTCACTAATGAAGATGCTAAGAGGGAAATGGATGTTTACCAATGATTAAGAATGACTAATTTATATTACAAATAACCAATTTACTTGATTTTAATGAATAGTTAGTCTCTTTAAACTTTTTTTTCTTGTTTCATTTTAAAGTCTCATTAAAACTGTGATGGTCCTCGTGGATAGGTGATGTAGTGACTAACACATGTTCCTATCTGCAGCTCAATGTAGGCTTGAAAGGTGAAACAGGATCTCCAGGACCTGATGGTCCTCCTGGACAGAAAGTGAGTATGCCCCTGACAACTAAGTCTCATTTAATGGGTTTTAGGGTGTTCAATAGTGTGGTTCTGGAGGATAAGCGTGGGACTGCTAACCACATTGTCAGCAATTCAGACCCACCAGCTACACCCTGGAAACCCTATGCAGGGTCGCTATGAGTTGGAATTGACTCTATGGCACTTAACTTGCTCTATTTTTGTTTTCCTAGGGCCCTAAAGGCATGCCTGGGCAGTCAGAACATTCTGTATGTATCTGCTTATTAGCAAACTCAAGGAATCTACTGGGAAATAAACTGGGCTACTCAGAAGTCTCTGTGCTCATGTGTCTTCTCTGTCTTTTCTATTTTTTATTCACAGCAGTGTGAACTGATAGACTTTGTGCGGAAACACAGTCGTGAGTATCATCCCATGATTGGTGAGGGTATTTAGGAAGGCCTGAGTGAGCACATAGGATCAGTTGGTGGAATTTACTGGTGGGGAAGGCATTGGGTCTCTGTAACAGGCTTATCTGGAGAAATTCTGTAGGAGGATCTCACATCAAAGGCAGGAGAAAAAGAAATATATGGTGAATTAAAGTTACAGTGCCTTTATTCAAGGAGTGTGAATCTCACTGGGAGAAAGTCATGCAAATGTGAAACTAGAGACCAACTCTAAAGATGGGTGGATTTGCTCACAATCAGATAAAAATTACATGCAAAAAGACTGAATGGCATGATGGTAAATGCATGAACATGGATTGAGGGGAAGGGAGTCCAGATTGGTTGGCAATTAGCTAGTTCAGTAAGCATGTTTAAAATACAAAAAAAACCTGTTGTTGTCAAGTCAGTTTTGACACATGATGACCCCATGTGTTACAGTGTAGAACTGCTACATAGGATTTTCTTGGTTGGAATCCTGATGTGGCGCTGTGGGTTAACGCGCGAGACTGCAAAGCCATTTGACCTGCAAGGTCGGAGGTTCAAGTTCACCAGCTGCACCTTGGAAACCCTTTATGGGGTCGCTAGGGGTCGGGATCAACTCCACGGCACTTAACAACAACAGTCTTTTTAGAGACATATTACTAGCCTTTTCTTTCATGGTGCAGTTGGCTGGCTTCAAACCTCCAACCTTAAAAGGTTAGTTGTTAAGTGCTGTCAAGTCGGATTTGACTCATAGCGACCCTGTTAAGGGTTTCTGAGGCTATAAGCCTTTGCAGGAACAGAAAGCCTCATCTTTCTCCCTCAGAGTAACTGGTGGGCTCAAACGGCCAGTCTTGTGGTTCACAGCCCCGTGCTTATCCTACAGAGCCACCACATTCCTAGTGGTGCTGGTGGTGATGTGTCGTGGAGTCAGTTCCGACTTATAGTGACCCTGTACAGGGTTTCTGAGGCTGTAAATCTTTATGGGAGCAGAAAGCCTCATCTTTCTCCCGCATTCCTAGTTGCTGAGTATAAATCCTTTCTGTCACCCAGGGACCTAAGAAAGGCTGCTTGAAGGGTATAATTGAATCTGGTCATGGAAAAATGATGGGGAAGCAGCAAGAAAAAAAACAATGTCAGTAAAGGAATAAAGCAGAAGTCAACAAATGGAGATGTTGTTTTTGGTTATGAAAAAGGGAAGGGAATGAGATAGTAAAGGCACCATAATTTCATTTGAAAATTTAGTCTAAGGAAAAAAAATTGCATGTAAAGATGTTTATTGAAGTACTCCAAATGATTATACATTTAGATTATTTACAATTATAGAAGATATAGGCTATGGTGCATCAGATTCTTTTGGATATATTAAGAAGATACATATTTTTATGAAGATTCTATTAGAATATGGAAAAATATTGGAACTGAAAAGCAGAAAATTAAACTGGATCCTAATGTGATTACACTAAGATAAATATATGTGTACATAGAAATAAGTACTAGAAGCAAAACTGGAAGAAAAATGTAAAAATTTATTATATTAGGGTGGTAGTATGGTGGGTGATTTGTCTTCTTATATTTTCATAACATTAATCATAATGCTTATACAATCTCACCCAGAAAAACGTAAAAGGGAAAAATCTTTGTAGGTTTACTGAAGGAGAATGGATAAAAAATGTACTGAGTACAATTGTACAGCTAGGAAATGACAATAAAAAATAAGTTTAAAATAACTGTAAGACTAGAAGCTTAATAGCATTATGGCTGTGAGTAGGCAGAAGAATTTGAAGGGAAATCAATTGGTAGAAAAAGATACTGGGCTTAATCAGTGGAGAGCTAGCCAGCAGTGACATAGGCTCTACATTAAAATAAATAAATAGGGCAATTTTACAAGTGAAGGAGTTCGTGGACAGTACAAATGGTAACATGCTTGACCGCTAACCAAAAAATTGGTGGTTCAAACACACCCAGAGGTACCTCGAAAGAAAGACCTGGCTATCTGCTTCCCCAAAATTAGCCATTGAAAACCCTATGGAGTGCAGCTCTATACTCTGAAACTCATGGGCTCACCATGAGTCAGACTCGACTTGACTCAACTCAACGGCAAATGGTCTGTGTTTTCATCCCAGTACAGACAGGGTCAGGGAAGGAAACTCAAGATGCTCAAGTCACTCAAGTGCTCCTGGTTTTGAAGATCACTGGTTGGATGAGGTTCCTAAGGGTGTCAAATCAGAGAGTCAGAAACAAAAACTCCATGAATGTACCCAGGAAGATGCTTCAATAAAAGGAACGGGAGTGGAGGACTGGAAGTTACAAAAACAGAAATGGCATAGAGATTCTTGCTATATGTGGACAGCTTGAAAGTAAACAAGATGCCAATGGAGAGAAGCTTCAAAGGAAGAGGATATGTTTGAGACATGGCTTGAGAGGTAAAAAAGGCTCTCAGCATCCTTGAGGAGGTGAAACAAGGGTCTGGGACTACAGGGAGAAGAAACAGGGGAGAATCACTGGAGGAGAAATTAGTGTGGTGATCAAACACCCGCATGGTTTGACCAGTCTTCAGAGTAATCAACGGTGTCTTCTCAAGAAAAACAGAAAGTAAATGGTAGCAATTGGTCCTTGGAGGGCTGGGAACTTTAAGGGAGATGCTTTCCAACTCTAAATGAAAAGTTAGCCAGAAAATAAAGGGGAGGAAGAATAGACAGGTTCTATAACCAGACTCAGTGTTGATTGGACAAGATGGAACTCCAAATCTGACCTCAAAACAGAGATAAGGATTTCAGTGATAAATTTTTTAAATGAACCCTAACAGCCTAATTGTATAAATGATGTTGGTGAGCCTGGACTTCTGGTGTACTATTCCTTGCTCTGAAGTTCTGCAGCAGTTCTCTGCTACACCAGGATAAGGCTGTGTCCTAAGCTGGTGGTTGGGATGTTCTCCTGAAAACAAAATAGAAAATCTAGGGCAAGGAAGAGGGAGGTTGAGAATAAAACATGACGGCGTCATGGACTATAGTTTTGGACGGAGAGACATATGTAAAGAGTATTTTTTAAAAAATAAAAACTACACATATACTAAAAGGGATCAAGTGGCTTACCCAAGGGTACCTCAGTTTTGCCAAATGCAAACCCACGCAGCTATGTCTGCTCAGTCAGAAGAAAGGGCCTTGAAATGCGGAGGAGTCAGTGGGCTGTGTGCATCTGCTAACAGCATCTCACTGGCCACAAATTTAAATATGTGTATGTGTGTGTGTGTATTACCTTTGACTTGATTCTGATCCATGACTACCCCAAATGAGTCAGGGTAGAACTGTACTCCATGAAATGTTCAATGGCTGTTTTAATGGGAAGTAGATTACCAAGACTTTCTTCTATTGCACCTCTGGGTAGATTCAAACTGCTAACATTTTAGTTAGCAACTAAGGGCATTAGTTCTTTGCACCACTCACAGCCACAGGATTAAATTAAACAAGCTTTGCTGGGAGGGGAGCAGGCGCTGTGGACTGACAGATGGCAGGCCAGTCTGTTGCCAATATTAATAAAAAGCTTTTATTATATTGGAGTGACTCGTTTGCTTCCTACGAACTGAGCAAAATTAGGATGGAAATGGTCAGGCCTGTGTCTTCCTGAAGATTTACCAACTTTTTCCCCCTGATTAGTTTCAGGCTTCTAATAAATCAGAGAAATCAGAGGCTTAGGAGGAACACTTGGGGCTTTTCCCTCCTCTCTGAGTGGGTGTAAAGATCACTAACAGAGGAGCTCTATATTGCAGCTGAGATAAAGTTCATTTGGAAATCCTCATGGTTTGGAAAGAAAACAGAGATTCCCAAGATGTTCATTAGGAAAGAGAAGAAGACCCCATATTTTAATTTCGTGTTCCAGAATGACTCCCAGAAGGCTCTAAGCACAGAGGCAAAACAAATTGAATGCTATCTTGCCATTTAATCAGAGGCTCACCTGTTCTATTTCCATGACTAGTGATAAATGTTTCTGATTTCAAGCCAAATTCTGCTAAAATTGACTGACCCTGGCTCACAAGGTCAGAAAGATTCACAATTTGATACAATTCTGTGGACATTTTCCTCAATCTTTTAACCTTGGTTTCCTGTCATTTAAAATTAACCTCACTTGCAGCTGGGCATAAATAAAACTGTTAAGTTTTGTTGAAATTTTATTTTGGGGATGATTTTTAGTTTGTGTTTAAAAAATGTAACTGACTCTTCTTTTTTTCTGTCTCCTTTTAATAGCTTGCTGGGAAGGTAAGTAATCTTACTATACCCTGTCTCTTGATGAAATAATTTTTGTGCATTCTGTCAACCATTTGAAAGTAACCTTTACCTCCTTGAAATTGTTGTTGTTAAATGCTGCTGAGTCGTTTCAACCCTGTTTAGGGTTCCCAAGGAGCAGCTGGTGGTTGAACCGTCGACCTTGCCGTTCAAACCGATGTTGTGATCCAGTTCTTATCCTACAACACCACACCAGGACTCCTTGAGAAAGACTTCTTTATTCTCTGCAAACACCTCTGTCTTTTGAATATAATCCTTCATGTTGTGATCTCTTTCTGATAGTAAAAATCAATGGTGTCTTTACACATTTCCCCCCTCTACTTCCTATCATGGTTTACACTCATTTACTTGACAGAAGAAGCCCCGTGTTGCAGGGAAATTCAGTGAACAGGGTTTTTTCTCAGGGGTCCTCATTCTGTTGTTCTGTTTGCTGCTAAACCCATTGACATTGGCTTCTTGGATACATGAAGTTTCCTTTCCTCCCAGGAACCCACACTGACACCTCTCCTCTTACCAAGTGTCAACCACTTGTAAACTTTGCCTCACCCGGGGTGGTCTCTTCAGGGCCTAGACTTCAGTGGTGTTGCACTGCAGGACATCTTAGATGTATGGTGATTGAGGCCTGTTTTGTCAACTTCAAGATCTCATTGTCTCCTAGAATCCTGTGAAGTAAACCCTCAGGGTCTTTGAACTTATTCTTAAGTATGGACTCATTCAACTTTAATTAAGAGTCGGGGCAGGGGTGAATACCTTGCACTTGGTAAGTGCTCAGTAAAAGCATCATGGATTTGAATTAATCAGGTAACCTAAGGACACCTTGTGTGGTGCTGTAGGATCAGCTCGGGACTGTAAACCACAGGTTGGCAGTTCAAACACACCAATCACTCCTTAGAAACCCTTTTGTTGTTGTTATGTGCCGTGGAGTCGGTTTCAACTCATAGCGACTCTTTACAGGGTTTCCAAGGCTATAAATCTTTACAGGAACAGAAAACTCCATCTTTCTCCTGCAGAACAGCTGGTAGTTTCAAACTGCTGATTTTGTGGCTCACAACCTGATTCGTAACCACTACGCTACCAGAGTGTCTTTAGAAACCCTTTACAGGATCACTATGACTCTGAACTGACATGATGGTACTAACAACTGTCCACTGGAGTCCTGATGTGGCATTGTAGGATAAACACTACTGCTAACCACAAGATCGGCAGCTCAAACTCACCAGCTGGTCCTCAGAAACTCTATACAGAGTTGCTATAAGTTGGAACTGACTTGACGGCACTTAATAACAAAAAATGCCATCAAGTTCATGCTGACTCACAGCAACCCTACGGGACAGAGTAGAACTGCCCCGTAGAGTTTCCAAGGCTGTAATATTTATGGAAGCAGGTCATCAGATCTCTTCTTCCATGAAGCGGCTGATGGGTTCCACCTGCCAACCAGCCAAGCATTTGACGGCTGTGTCACCTGGGTTCCTTGACATTAGGGTAGTTGGTGGTAGTGGTTATGTGCTGTGGAGTCGGTTCTGCCTCATAGCGACCCTGTATAGGGTTTCTCAGGCTGTAAACCTTTATACGGGAGCAGAAAGCCTCATCTTTGTCCAGCGGAACCACTGCTAGTTTCAAACTGCTGACTTTGAGGTTAGCAGCTCTACTCGTAACCACTACTCTACCAGAGCTCCTATTAGGGTAGGAGAAAAGTTAAAATAAATAGGATTGAGTTGTTCCCTTCCTGGAGAACTGTGATGATAGGTAGGTCTTAAGGATGTTTCACTGCCACTTGACCTGTTATTTTAGTGGAAATCCAAGAAACCAGAAGTACTTCATTCTCCTTACTGGACTCTTCATTACTCATTTTACATTTAAAATATATTGACAGTATAATGCCTTGATTCAAAACACATCAATACTTCCTCTCTATTTCTATAACTCTCAGTTATAGGAGATTTTTAGTTTAAGGTGCTTTGGAACCTGACTTCTTTGAGGAGAATCGAACAGACAGCATAGATGAGGGTTTTTGTTTTGTTTATTCCTTAAATTTTTCTGTTCATGTGTATTGAGTTGAAACAAGTAAGGTTAGGTTAGGTTAGAGTTGATGCATAGGTTAGATTCCTTATGAAATTCCTAAAATTCAACTATCATAAAACTATCAGTATTGAGTTGGGAATTGCAAAGATTCCATCTCTCTTATAGCTCATGCAAGTCAGTCTTACTCCATAGTTGCTCCCTTCCCTCCTGGAATGAAACCATGGCTTTCATTCAAATGTTGGCTTTCATGGTGTCCCTCAGATACTCCCTGACTGGAAACAAGTCTCTTAGTCCTCAGAATCCTCATTCAGAGTCCCAACCACCCTCTCCCTTTTATTATAATGATCTTCTCAATTTAAAATCCTTGAGGGCAGGATCTGCATATGACTCATACTTGCATGGTTACATTGGTGGGCACTCAATAAACATGTTTTGAATTTGTTGTCATTGTTATTTGTTGTTGTTGTTAATTGCTGTTGAGTCAATTCTGAGTCTTAGCGACTCTGTATAGGGTTTCCAAGGAGCAGCTGGTGGTTATTATTAAATGCCATCAAATCCGTTCCAAATCATAGCAAGCCTGTAGAGATTTCTGAGGAACAACTGGTGGGTTTAAATACTGACCTTGAAGTTAGCAATCCAGTACTTAATCCTGTAACACCTCAACCAATGATTAGGTTGCTGTCTTTTGCATAAAAATCTGGATAAAAATCTTTCAACCAACTATCACTTCATTTCTGAAGGTTTTGGAGGAAGGTGGTTTTTCCAAATCACCCAAAACTGTCATAATCATTTTCAATTTTAAAAGTTATGTACAGTAAAATTCCCATTTTGTGTATGTTTGTACAGTTCTGAATTTTAACACGTGCCTACAGTTAAAGAATTAACACCCTGTTCGGGATACAGAACTGTTCCACCAGCCCCCAAATTCCCTGAAATTGCCTTTTAAATGGCAGACCATAGTGGGTTGTGAGGTCTGAGCATTATATAGCCAAATATCAAGTTCTGTATTTATGTAGCACCTTCAAGTTTAAAAAGCACATGGGACTCTTTCTTTGCACATGGGAACCTCTAGTTCTAGAACTGGATGAAACACTTGGATATTCTTGGACTTCGCTGCAAACCTCATTGGTGTAAATGATCTGGGAGAGGCTTTGATCCATTAAAATAACTTAACACATCTGCTTCTCGTTTTTTGTAGCAAGGTGTCCTGTATATCCAACAGAGTTGGTGTTTGCCCTGGACCAGTCCTACGACGTTACAGAGCAGATATTTATGGAAACAAGGGACCTCATCGTTTCCATTGTCAATGACCTGAACATCAGGGAAAATAATTGTCCTGTGGGAGCAAGAGTTGTTGTAGTTTCCTATGACTCAGATACCAACTATCTCATCCGCTGGTCCGACTATCATAGCAAGAAGCAACTCCTCCAACTTCTTTCCCAAATAAGGTATCAAAACACCGCAAACGCCGCAGACATTGGCAATGCGATGAGGTTTGTGGCCCGGAACGTTTTCAAGAGGACTTATGCGGGAGCCAATGTGAGAAGAGTTGCTGTGTTTTTCAGCACTAGTCCAATAGCCAGCAGGTCGTCCATCATCACTGCTACCATGGAGTTTAACGCTCTTGGTATCAGTCCAGCCGTGCTCACTTTTAACAAAAGAGAATTCCTCGATGACGTATTTGGGGTAAGAGCTTTCCTGGGCAATTTCTCTATTTTTCACGGTGTGGTGTTAGTAGGGTTGGATGGGAGTCCGAGGAGATAAGAGGCATCTTTAATCTCCTTTTCAATTTTGAGCTGTATTTGGCCAAACTACAAAACCCACGTTCATCGAATCAATTCTGACTCTTGGAGACCCCTTGTGTGTCAGAGGAGAATTGCACTCCATAGGATGTTCAGTGTCTTTCACCTTACAGATCCTCAGGCCTTCCTTTCACCAGCTAGTTACGGTTAAGTGCCGTTGAGTCAGTTCCAACTCTTAGCGACCCTGTATAGGGTTTCCAAGGAGCAGCCAGTGTAAATGTGAACCGTCAACCTTTTAGTTAGTTGCTGAGCACACGCTGTTGTGCACCTAGGAACTTTTCATTGTTGCCAGTACCTATGAAATACAATAGCTAACAACAACAGCAGTTAATAATAATAGCAGCCGCACTTGCTCAGCTCCTACCTATGCCAGGCTCTATCTCAGGAACTTTGCATATATATTCATACATCCTCACCACCCTTTGAACTGAATATAGTTCTCTCCATTTTAAAAACAAGGAAACTAAAGCCCAGAGAGTTCAAGCAACATCCAATTTTGCCCATCTAGGAAGCAGATAAATCAAGACCCAAACTTAGGTTGATCTTATATAAAGTGTCATGAACTTGGTGTTTTGCCAACCCTCTGCTGACTCAGTGTTTTTCAGATATGCCAGCTGCTTGCTGTCTCACATTAAACAGTGGATCTTATCCTGCAATAGATGAAGTTCAGGAGATCTTTGAGTCCTTAAAGCTGTGCAAAACATTTGTTGAATATGAACATTTTTCATAAAAGATGGTATGCCATTTTTAGATCTGCAGACTCTCAATGGCACCTCTGTTCTCATCCCTCCCCACAAAAAGATGACGTCTCCATCTACTGTTCTAGTCTAATGACTCACAAGATGCATGCGCTTGGAGCTGGGCAGAACTATCATGTCATCCAAGAGGCTATAAACATCTACTTCCATACTCAGGCACTTGTCTTCTACTAAGTCATATTTTTTCTGCCAAAAGAGGAAGAATATGCTCCCTAGGGTATGGGAAGAGTTCTATTCTCATAACACATCCAATTTTTTTGGACACAGGCACCAAAGGAAGGGTCACAATAGAGTCTGACAAAAAGAATAGTAGAAAGTCTTGTGGGATTTCAGTTTCTCTTTTTGAAGTTTTCAGCCTTCCTGATTTTGCATTTGAACTTTGAGTGCCACACCAAATTCTAGAATAAGCCAAGTCTGAGCAGGTTATCAAGTTCAGTCTCATATTTATTGGACCATGCCACAACTCCTCTGACTCATCAATGGAAAAGAACTTCCAACCACTCCTGGTGAACAAATCATTTCTCATTTGCACCATCTCTCTGAAGAATAACTGACCCAGGAAGCTATCCACTTCTTGCTTGCTACCTCTAATGTTACCAGATGATAACCCCCACATTAGTTCTGGTCATGGATCATGCTAGAACAATGCTTCCTTTAGTAATTTTTTATGCAACACTGTCTCTGTGTGCCCTTCCGTTCAGGATCTCCTCACCCACCCTGGCCTCTCTCTTATTTCTCTTCCCTACCCTCTTCATCAAACCCTTGTGGTCTGGGCACTAGAGCCATAAAGCTTGCCACCCTTGGGGATCTAAGAATGTCTTTTTCTGCACACACATACTAACAATGACCTTTATCAAGCTTTTTCAGTTGTTGCCAATCAGATCGGTAAATAAGAGCATCATGCTAATGTTGCTGTTCAGATCCTTATTTTTTATGAGGTTAAAACATTTTTTTTTTAAATGTTTATTGAGCATTTTTATTTTCTTGTGAATGTGCCAACACACATCCCTTATATCACTTATTTTTTGTTCTGCTTCTTTTGGCAATTCTTCTATGAAATACTTCTGTTTGTTTTTCAGTCTCTGAACCCTGCCTCAACTGAAAATTAAATTGCAATGTCCCTCCCATGTTCTAGAAATTTCTAAAATTCAAACAAGTTGAACCCCTATACATCTGATTTTCTATATTGTTGTTGTTAAGTGCTGTTAAGTCGTTTCTCATTCATAGCAATTCTGATAGGGTTTCTGAGGCTTTAAAATCTTTGCGGAAGCAGAAAGCTTGATCTTTTCTCTCGATGGACTTGAATGGTATACCAATCTTGTGGTTTGCAGTCCAGTGCTTATCCTGTGGAGCCATTGCAGTCCCCCCATTTTCTCTCTAGAATATACATTTAAATAGTGTAAACCAAGATCTTTTCTTTTATGTAGTTGGGCAAAATGGACAGATTTATTAGGTATTTGCAATCCCTTAAAGTGTTACCATGGGAGCACAGTGACTCTGTAGGATAAGCACTGGACAGGTAACCACAAGGTCAGTGGTTTGAGTCAGCCAGCCACTCTGCAGGACAAAGATGAGGCTTTCTGCTCCTCCAAGATTTACAGCCTCAGAAACTGTATAAAGGGTTTGCTATTTGGATGCAAGGTCGACAGTTGAAGCTCACCAGCTGCTTCTCGGAAACTCTCTACAGGATTGCTCTAGGTAGGAACTGCCTCGATGGCACTTAATAACAACAACAACGAGAGTAGGAACAAACTAGAAAGCACCTAAGAGCACAACAGTTACCCACCCACCACCCTTGTGTGGATTCCAACACATAGTGACTCTATAGGATAGAGCAGAACTGCCCCTGTAGGGTTTTCCAAGACTATAAATGCTTCCGGAAGCAGACTGCCACAGCTTTCTCCTGGTGGGTTCAAGCTGCTGACCTTTAGGTGAGCAGCTGAGTGCTTTAACTACTGAACTACCAAGGTTCCTCCTAAAGTTGCTGTTGTTATGTGTCGTTGAGTTAGTTCTGACTCATAGCAACCCTGTATAGAGTTTCTGAGTCTTTAAATCATCACAGAAGCAGAAAGCCTTTTTTTCCTGCAGAGCAGTTCGTGGACTTGAACCACTAACTTTGTGGGTCAGAATGCAGTGCTTATCCTATGGAGCTACTGTGCTACCCATGAAGTGTTAAGAGTTATGTTATTATTGGGAGAGGCCCACTGTCTACCCCAGATCATTCTCTACTGAATCATTCCAATCAGAAAATGCTTTAAAAAAAAACACAAAAAAACCTCTTTAGTTGACCCAACTTTTCACTTTAGCTACTGTCGTATTTCTTGGTTACCCTGCAGCAAATCTTCTAGGAAAAAAACAAAGTCTGTATTTGCTGTCTTCATTACCTCTCACTGCTTTTCCCAGAGTCCTTTCCCTGACTATTCCCTGAAACACTTCCCCTAATTAGGGCTCCCTCTCTTCACCTTTGAGGTTTTGCTGAAATGACACTTTCTCATGGGTTCTATGTAAAATTTCACCCCTAGCACTCCTCATCCCTATTACCTTGCTTTTTTTTTTTTTTTTTTTATGTTCATGGAATGTCTCCCACTAAAATATAAACTCTAGGAAGGTAGGGATTTTGCTTGGTATGTTCATTTCTGTATCTTCAGCATCTGGAATAGCAGCTATAGTACTGTCAGCATTCAATAAATATTTGTTGAACAAATGTATTGAATGGAGATCATCAATACAAATGTATTGAATGTGAATAAATGTTGTTGTTTGCTAAACTGCCATTTAGTATTATAGTGGGAATCAACAAAGCCAAAACCAAAATAATACCTCCCAGAGCAGCTGATTTCATGAAAAACATAAAGTAGTAATGAAGTAAATACTTTCTAACTATAAATCTGGAATGATGTTGACTATTTCCAAATGTTCACTGAATGCTTTACAGAAAATGGAAGCATATGGCCTTTGTAAACCTTTAGTTTCCCAAGGGAGAGAAAGAAAAACATGAGTATCTATTTAGATTGCGACATACCCTTCCATCCACCTCAAAATGATACATTTCCTTCATTGTAGTAAAAATATCTGCCTTGCACAGTGCCTCACACAGAGCAAAAAGCCCACAAAATAATTATCGGCTTGCTGAATGAGTGAATGAAAAAATGAGTGCTATATTTTGCCCATTTCAGTGAGTATTAAAGCAAAGGAGTAATCAAGAAACACATGGCAAGCAAGCACTATAATAACAAGTATTTTGAATACACTTAGTATTTTCTGTCTGTGGCCTTTCACAGTAGACTTTTAATTGAATCTGTGATTGAGAAGGTCTACTTGACATCTGAAAGATGAACCTTCTTCTGGACAATGTGATTGAGGTGGAAGTAGGATCACTAAAGAGGCCGAAAGAAACTAGTATTGTAACATTTCTGCAGGCCCCAACTTTAGAGGCTGGATGTAGAATTGCAGGCTTTAAAATGTATTGGAAACAGGAGTTGCTACTATTGTTGCTGTTAAGTGCTTTTCAGTAGATTTAGACTCATTATTATCTTGTAAAGGGTTTCCAAGGAGAGTCTGCTAGGTTTGAACTACTGACCTTGAGGTTGTTGTTGTTGTTATGTGCGTGGAGTTGGTTCCAACTCATAGCGACCCTGTACAGGGTTTCCAAGGCTACAAATCTTTACAGGAGCAGAAACTACCCCAGAACAGCTGGTAGTTTTGAACTGCTGACCTTACAGTTCACAGCCCAATTCGTAACCACTACGTTACTTAGCAGTCTAATAAATCTGAATTTTAGTCTCAGTCTGTGAATTTGCTCAAGTTATAATAGTTTTCTCATCAAAAAATGAGTGGGGGCAGGTTGTTGAGGCCTATTTTACATGATTCCTTAGGTTATAATTAGGATTCAAGGTAGGCATAGAATAGAACACAGAGCTGTAATGCACAGGAATGGTGATGAGGTAAGTGCACAGTGGCTTCCTAACCATTATTAGAGAAAATGAACAAACATCTACTTACTTTTCAGTTTGACAACACTGGAACATTTCAGGTGATTCCAATTCCAACACTTGAGGACTACCATGAACCAATAGAGAGACTTCGGCTCTGTTCACTTTGCTATGGTAAGACTAATAAAAAGAGTATTATTGGCTATCGCTATGAGTCGGAATCGACTCGACAGCACTTCACAACAACAAATTGAGCTGAAAAGCTTAAATGCCTTTTTGGTGAGCTATTGAATTTGGTTTTATAAAAAATTATATCTTCTATTGCAGGCTCTATTTTCAGTTTTCCAGTTTTCCAATACCGTATGTCCAGGTTTTAATTGTAAGGTTTGGAGTTTCCTAAGAAAATATTTAGGAATTTAATTGGTAAAAGAAATCCTCAGAAACCATATGTAGGGGTGCTCTATATAAAAATTCCTTTAGAAGATTATCCCAATTTATCTATCTTTTGGGGTACCAATTTGGTGGTTTGTAGCAAAAACCTCAGAAATATTGAAACTATGTTTTAAAGGAGTTTGTTGTTGATGTTAAATGTTGTCAAGTATAGTGCCCCTATACAGGGTTTCTGAGGATTTGAACTACCAACCTTGTGGTTATTAGGTTATCCTACAGCACCACATGTCTAACAGATTTCACATATATACATGCTACCTCTCTATAGCTTCTTTTACCAATGAAATTCATAAATTATCTTTTAATGGCCATAGAAATATTGAAACATTGAAAACTTCTCATTAACTTAAATGCTAGGATATTGAAAAGGTATTGATCAGATGATTGATATTATTAGTAATTACATATTTTCAAGTTACTGAATCACTTGAAGAAGAATTTCAAACCACAATGTTTTGCTGTGTCAACATTAAACCAATGAGTCTCTCTATGTGTTTTCAGATAAGTGTTTTCCAGATACTTGCATCAAAGATATTTTTGTACCTGAAGGTACATATATGGATGTGGCCTTCCTCTTAGACAATTCTCAACATATTACAAATGATGAGTTTAAGGCCATGAAGACATTGGTGAGCTCAGTGCTTGACAACTTTGACATTACTTCAGACCCTTCCATTTCAACCTCTGGTGATAGGATTGCCTTGTTGAGTTATTCTCCTTGGGATAGGAGAAGGAAAACTGCAGTGAAAACAGAGTTTGGATTTACACATTTTAAGAACCAAGCCCTAATGAAGAGATACATCCAGAATTCCCTCCAACAGTTACATGGAGAAGTCACCATTGGCCATGCCCTACTGTGGACCATGGAACATCTCTTTCCAGAAACACCCAACCTAAGAGAATATAAGGTCATCTTTGTGATCTCAGCTGGAGAAAATCATGAGAGAAAGGAATTCTTAAAGAGGATGGCTATGAGGGCCAAGTGTCAAGGCTACATCATATTTGTGATTTCACTGGGCTCTACGTATAAGGATGAAATGGAGGAGCTAGCCAGCTACCCACTTGAACACCACCTGGTACAGCTTGGAAGAGTTCATAAACCAGATCTGGATTACATTGTGAAGTTTACTAAGCCACTTATTTATTCAATTAGACGTAAGTCATTTTTCGTTCCTCTGTATTTTTATAAGAAGATAGTCTTTGCTAATAATGCTAATAACTTGTTTATTTTTGTATCTACAGCTAACCCAAATACATAAATTAGATGGTAAAATGGGAGTGAGGAACGGAACATATCATAGTTATATTTTGTTTATACCTTTGTTGTCATGTAATGAGACTTTTGTCATGGGAGATTCCTTTCACCAAAATCTGAGCATCAGGAAGCACAGAGTGACTGGAGTCATCTGACCCACACACTCTCAACCTGAAGTAGTTCCAGAAGCAATTAGATGGTTTCCAGGATGGGCATTTAAATAAAATGAAAGGTTTATCCATTACAAGGTTGGTTTGTTTCCACGCTTGGCACATTCTGGAGACCTGTTTGAGGGTATAAAGACAACACAATCCTGTGCTCCTCCTAGAAAGGCTGACCATTCAAATCACTGGAAATCTCACTAACCTGCTGCTCCTGATTCAGGCTGTCTGGAGTAGAGTCTAGGATTCTGCATTTGTAACAAGCTCCCCAGTAATGGAGCACACCTTGAGCAACAAGGCTGTAGACCAGTGTGCAAAGTAAATCATCATGGCAATCCACAGTCCACTGATCTGTGAGGAAATAAAGACAGAAACTGAAGCATCTAGAAACGTTTAAAGCAATTAGATGTTGCTGAACATACAAGTCATACAAGTCCATGACTAGTGGACTCTGCCTCATTAAACAGGATATAGACTAAAAATAAGTCTACAAAGAGCTAGAAATAAAAATAAATTGTATTTCACCACAAATAGTGAGACATGTTCTTCTATAACATTGATTCTCAATCAGGAGTGACTTTTTCTTCCAGGAGATAGCGTGCAATGTTTGGTTGTCATACCTGGTTTGGGGGATACTACTGATAATGGATGGATATTGCTAAAGATCCTAAAATGTACATGTCAGTTTTCCACTTGTATAAATATTAATATTGCTGAAGTTGAAAAACTCTACTCTGGAGAATCCACGAAATCAGAACTGAACCTTTCTGAGAACATGACAGGTTTAGAGCTAGATTTTGCTACAACCAATCTCACCACAGATGAATTCAAAAGTTGCTCTGATATTCAAGAAATCTCCCATGCTGACCATATCTTTAGAGTTCACTCTTAATTAAAGAATGATTTCCACCTTTTCTTGTGAGCCACATACAATTAGAAAACCCAATAATTGCCCTTTAGGGAATACTACTATACTTCTTTATATCTAAAATGCCCTCTATTGTTTTGTATACAGAGTAGAAAAAAATATCTCTTCAGTGACTTTTGATACAGATTTTCCTATTAGTGTTTGTATTTTATAGCAATTGAAAGAGTTCTTCCAAATTTAGAGTAAGTATGTGGGGGCGGGGTGTGGGGCACTTCAAAAAGTTCATGAAAAAAATCCTATTATATTTAAAGTCCATTTTTCCACAAACTCTTTGAAGCCTCTTCATATATGTGAACAGACTGTTTAAGACATTGCTAAAACAACTTCTCATTTAGTATTTGATATTTTATGTGAACTACTTTTTAACTCAGAATCATCAATATCCACTCCCCCACCACCACCACCACACCCCATACAATGTTGTACTTTGTGTCTTCAAGTGGCTGTTAAGGCAGCATTTCTAAGACTGTAAAATAACTCAGAGCTGGTGATGCTGGGCTCTTCTGTGGCTTTGCAACAAAGTTACAGTACCATACTGTTGACTTCCACTGGAAGAACCTTGCCAGACACATCTGAATCACTGCCTTCCCACAACCACTTCTGGTTCATGTGGTGGTGGTGGTTCTGTGCTGTGGAGTCGGTTCCTACTCATAGCAACTCTGTACAGGGTTTCCAAGGCTGTAAACAGAGGTCTGTTTACTTCTCTACTAACTTGTGGTGTTTTGTTTTGTTTTTCCAAATTGCTGACCCCACTTTTCACAAGTTTTGGTGCAGGCACTTTCAATGTTCCTGCCTGCATAGGCAATGACAACTACATCAGAGTTCTTGCCTTACCAACAGCAAGTGTCAGATGCAATTGAAATCACATTCTCATTTCGGAGATATAAGAAAAAGAAAAAACAACAACACTCATCTTAAATCAGAGAATATGATCATTGTAAAACCACAGAATTATTCTGACACTTTCTCTTGGAGCTGTGGGTTGTTCAATGGTGAAAGGCCTCCTTTAACTAAAAATGGCTAATTTCAATTAAATGAGGGAAAAATGATACACTTCTCAATATTCCTCAACCTACAGAAAAACATCAGGAAGGATATAGAGTGGTACAGTACTCAGACCTGTAATCTATAAATCTTTCTGTGATTCTTCTCCTCCTATGAAATCAGTGTTAGTTGTGTAAAAGCACAAAATAGCATGATGTAGACAAAATATTATCTTTTCTTTGTTTGATCCAGTAGCATAAGTCTGATTGTAAAAGCTTAAGAGAATCAGAATAAAATTTCCCTCCAATTTTATTGGTGAAATCATGTGTCCCTATACCACCATTAACCCTTAAATGAGCAATTTGAGGAGGTCATTTTCCTCTGATGACCCTGGTAGGTAATTTTTTTGGTGGCTAACGCACTCTAAAATCAAGTTTTGAATGCTGTTTCTATTTGCTATCATTTGCTGTTTTCACACCAACCAAATTTTACTGAAATATTTTAGTGACATTTATTGCCTTAAGAGGATTCCTGTTGGGATTCTCTTTACTGAGCAAATGCAATTTCCAGTTTGAAAATCTAACTTTAACTTTGTTCCCTCAATAGGAGGATTTAATCAGTACCCACCACCAATGCTTGAGGATGCCTGTAAAGCCATACTTTCAGAAGAGGATTTGCAATATGAGCATTTCCAGTGAGTTGAAAAGTTCTTACATTTACAACTCCCTGCTAATTGACAGATGGGTGTATGCCTGGCACATGACAGGTTATTAGGTTAAAGAAACTAAAAAGGTCTCTGAAGTAAAGTATTACAGTTTCTGTAGCAGACGTTTCATATCAAGATTGCTTCCATGCTGGATGCATAACATCTTCTTAAGCTTCATTACAGTTTTGCATTTAAATTCAAGTTTTCTAAAAAATTTTCATATTTAGCCCCCAATTTTTTTAATTAAAAAAAAAAAAAAAACACACACCAAAAAACAGCTCCCATTCAGTCAGTTCCAACTCCTGGAAACCCCATGTGTGCCAAAGTAGAACTGTGCTCCATGTTTTTCAGAGGTAGATAGCCAAGTTTCTACCAAGGTACCTCTGGATGGGTTCAATTAGTAGTCATGTGCTTAACTAGTTGTACCACCCAGAGACTTCTTTCTAAAAATATAACCTACAATTTAGCCTCATCTCACGTCAGTCTCATTTCCCACTTCTTGGTGAGTCTGGTAAGTCCCATTTCTTTAAGTTTGAGCTACTCTTCCACATTTTTCCTCCTTTTGACCCATCTGTTGGGTCCTTGATCAGAACATTCAGTAATGTTAGCTAGGGATATCTATTTTTTCTGGTCTCATGACAATGAAGATAGTAGTTTATGATGGCAGTTAAACTTGCAGCACATTTCTTTCTCCAATTCCTGGGTGTCCTTCTTTTCTGTGCTGTTCCTATCAAATAGAGACTGTTGTATCTTGAATATGCACACGAAAGCTTTAAAGACCACAGGCATTACTCACTGAACTAGAAGATAGAACAGAAACTCTAAAACCATTACGACAGTTGACTTGATAAACCCATAAAGCCATGACCCTAAACCTTTGAATCATGAAAATGAATCCTATAAAGTGTATCCAAGTAATGTCAACAAGGACAAATTCTTTTTGGGTACTGTTATAGTTGTAAAATTATGTAAAGTATTTTATTTTCCAACCTGTCCCCCTTCTGTATTCCTGATGTACAGCTTCATGGTAACAATGACATTAGTGTGGTTGTATAACCATCATCTTTAGTGCATGCTAATTTTCCCATCACCATGTGGCGCTGTGGGTTAATGCGCCAGACTGCAAAGCCCTTTGAACTGCAAAGTCGGTGGTTCAAGTTCACCAGCTGCTCCTTGGAAACCTCATTGGCACTTAACAACAACAACGCAGACAAAAATTCACTGCTTCCCAGTGAGTGATTTCCCGTTTCTCTCCCAGACCCCGGTAACCACTAGTAAGCATCTGTATAATTATGTATTCCTGTATAATTATGTATTCTTGTCATTTCATAATCAGAATATGAGATGTACTAAGCATGAATTTATAAAAATTAGAAGTCATCAAAAGTGAAATGAAACACTTGAAGATTTATATCTAGCCATGAATTAGCTAAAATGGACTGGTATTGGCCATTTTGAATCAGACAGTCATATGATCTACTATGCCAGGAATGAAAAATTGAAGAGGAATGGTGTCACATTCATCTTCAAAAAGAACACTGTAAGATTTATCCTAAAGTACAATGCTTCAAGTGACAGGATAATACCCATATGCCTATAAAGAAAACCAGGTAATACAATAGTCATTCAAATGTATGTACCAAACACTAATGCCAAGGGTAAAGATACTGAAGATTTTTATCAACTTCTGCAGTCTGAAATTGATCACATATACAATCAAGATGCACTGATAATTACTAGTATTGAAATGGAATCCTGGTGTGGCACAGTAGAATAAGCACTAGACTGCTACCTGTCAGGTTGGTGGTTCAAACCCACTGGCCACTTTTCAGAAACCCTATATAGGGTTACTATGAATCATAACGGACTCAACGGCACTTAACAAGAAGTTATTGGAATGCAGAACTCGGGAACCTAAAAGGATAAGGAGTTAGAAAATAGGGCCTTAGTGGTAAAAGCAACTCCAGAGATCCCACTGTAGAATTTTGCAAGGCCAAGAACTTATTCACTGCAAACAACTTTTTCAACAACAGAAATGGTGCCTACATACATAGACCTTACTAGACGGAATATGCAGGACTCAAATGAACTACATCTGTGGAAAGAGCTGATGGAGAAGCTCAATATCATCAGTCACAACAAGGCCAGGAATCAACTGCAGAACAGACTATTAATTGTTCCTATACAAGTTCAAGTTTAAGATGAAGAAATTAAAACAAATACATGAAAGTCAAAGTATGACCTTCAGTACTTCCCACCTGAATTTAGAGACCAATTCAATAGATTTGATGCATTGAAAATTAATGCCCAAAGATCAGATGAGTGTGGGACACCCTCAAGGCCATCAAGAAGGCAAAAGTCCATTTGAAAAGTCAGGAAAGAAAGAAAAGACAAAAATGGATATCTGAAGAGGCACTGAGACTTGCTATTGAATATAGCATTGCTAAAGCAAATTAAAAGAATGATGATGTAAAAACTGAACAGAAGATTTCAAATGGTGACTCAAGAAGACAAAGTAGAATATTATAATGAAATGAGCAAAGACCTGGTGTTGGGAAACAAAAAGAAAAGAACATGCTCATCATTTGTCAAACTGAAAGAACTGAAGAAAAAATTCAAGCTTCAAGTTGAAATATTGAAGGATTCTATAGATAAAGGAGCCCTGGTGTGGCACTGTGGGTTATGCACTGGACTGCAAAGTTGGTTTGAACTGCAAGTTTGGCAGTTCAAGCTTACCAGCTGCTCCTCAGAAACCCTATACAGGGTCACTTTGAGTTGGAACCAACCTGACAACACTTAACAACAACAACAAGCAAAATATTGAACCACACATGAAGCATCAAAACAATATGGAACAAATATACAAAGTCCCTTTACCAAAAAGAATTAATTAATGTTCAACCATTTGAGGAGGTAGCATATAATAAGGAACTGATGGTATTAACATCTAAGCTGCACTGAAGACTCTGGCAAAAAATTACCAAAAACAAAAACAAAACCCAGCTTTGGGAAACAGATGTTTCAACAAACAGATGCAATACTAGATATGTTCACTTATCTATTGCTATCTAGACAAGTGACTGGAAGAGATCCATATTTGTGCCCATTCCAAAGAAAGGTGATCCAATAGAATGTGGAATTATCAAACAATATCATTAAAACCACATATAAGTCAAATTTTGCTGAAGATAATTAAAAAATGGTTGCAGCCGTACCTTGAAAGAGAACTGCCAGAAATTCAAGCTAGATTCAGAAGAGGATGTGGAACAAGGGATATCATTGCTGATGCCAAACGGATTGTAGCTGAAAGCAGAGTATATCAAATAGATATTACTTGTGTTTTCCTGAGCATGCAGAGACATTCAACTGTGTGGATTATAACAAATTATGGATAATATCTTGAAGAATAGGAATTCCAGAACATTTCATTGTGCTCATGTGGAAACTGCACAAACCAAGAGAAAGTTGTTAAAACAAAACAAGGGAATACTATATGGATTATACCAACATGAGAAGAAACAAAAATTCTCACAATTAGACTAATAAGCAACATCATGATAAATAGAGAAGATAAGGAATATATCAGAATTTCATTTTACTTGGATCCACAATCAATGCCTATTGAAGCAGCATGCAAAAAATCAAACCACATGTTACATTGGACAAATCTACTGCAAGGGACCTCTTTAAAGTGTTAAAAAGCAAAAATGTCACTTTGAGACTAAGATGCACCTAATCAGCCAAAATGCTTCTTAGAACATTGGATAGTGAGACTTTTTCTCACGTATTTTGGATATTTTATCAGGAGTGACTGGGGAGTGCAGTGGGTCCATAGGATAAACATGGACAGCGAACCACAAGATTGACAGTTTGAACCTACCAATAGCTCCATGACCAAAAGATGAGGCTATCAGCCCCATAAAGATTGTAGCCTCAGAAATCCTATACAGGGTCACTGAGTCAGAACCAACTCCATGACACTTAACTACAACAACAACATCAGGAGTAGCAGTCCCTGGAGAAACACTTCATGTTCGGTAAAATAGAGAGTCAGCAAAAAAGAGGAAGACCCTCAATGAGACGGATTAATACAATGGCTGCAGAGAAGGGTTCAAACATAGTGAAGGTTTACAGGGCAAATTATCAGTTTTACATTCAACAAATAATACTTAGTTTCACTGCAATGATTACAATCCACTCTGTGCACCATCAGTCAACAGTATTTACCTTTATTCCCTTTCTCTTTTGTAATATATGCAAATAAAACAAAAAATTTACATGCATTTAAATGTCCAAAGGGCACACTTTGCAAGTCAGCCTCCTGCCCACAGGCACACAACCTTTCTCAGTCCATGGGCCTACAGTCCTAAACTGCTCTATGTCTCTCTCTGTACCATTGCCTCTGCCACTGTCTCTTCTGCTGCCGCTTATCTGGTTAGGATCTCACGCTTTACTCATGTTCTTCCCTCTTGAACAGGACCTCTGTTCCTGAAATGAAAGATGAACTACTCCCCTCTTTTAGTTACATATCTACTACATTTACATTTATGACAGTCGCAATTAGTCCTGCTAACAATTACTCACAATTGAATCATAAAATTCTATCACCACCATCCCAGACCCTTTCACCACACCCATCTGGAAAAGAGGAAAACTCTTCAGTGGGGATTCTACCTTACTCCTCTTATTCTGAAATTAAGCACACTCATGAAAGCTTGTAAACCAGCTACTTTATACATTAATAGCCCCCCACTTTTGATAGCATTGTCTGAGTTGACCATCCCTATCAAGCCAGTGCACTGAGGAAAAAAGTTTGATCCTTGATATGAAGAATCCTTCCATTTCAGTTGGAATTTCGGCTAACTGCATTCATAAACTATGGTCCAGTTCATCAAATTATAGCAATTGATGCTTGCTCACTGTATCAAACGTCTTTAACTTCATCTGGTCAAGTTCTCATCAATTAGCCATCTAAGCTAAGTCAAATGGGTACTAGCTGCAAGTTTGGGAGCTCTTGCGTGCCTCCCCCACTTCAGACCAGCTGCCCACTTCACGCTCATCTCCATCCCCCAGTGGCTACGTCAGTGTCCTTGAGCTTGGGAGTTCACATGTCTTCCTAAACTTCAGACCAGCCGCCCTTCCTCCTCTCTCTCTCATTTCAAGGTCAATGGGTGTCAATGGAACATGGCCAAATTCTGCCCATGTCTTCACTGCTGCATTTCCCCCACTTCCACTTACAAGTTGACCAGGGTACTCACTAGATTGGTGGTGGGTTCCCTTTTAGTTTCAGTCTTAGAAGGGGGTTTACCCTGATGGGCTGACTTTTCTTGCCTTGATGCCTCCAAGGCAAACTGCTTTGCTTGATATTGTCACAGCTGAATAGTCTGCTGTTTTTCTGTTAGTCTTTCTTTTAATAAGTATCTTCTGTTCTTCTAACCACTCGGGTTGGTCTTCATGTCTTTTCAGGTGGGAATGTGCCACCTCAGAAGGTTCTGGGTGTGGCTCAGGATTGCACGCAAGGTCCCCTACTCCCCAAAGGCTTAACAAGAAGCCTATTTCCCTGTCGTTTGTCCATGTTTTTAATGGATTGTTTGTGTTTATGTTTTCATGCTGTAAAAGTTTTGTATATATTTTGGATAGTAGACCTTTATCAGGAGTCCTGGAGTGGCACTGTAGGATGTGTAGTGGACCCCAAGGCCAGTTTTAACTGCAAGATGACACTATACCTTTTAAGGGAAAGTCAAGATGACAAACCCACCAACCACTTCTCAGAAACTCTATGCAGGGTCGGTATGAGTCAGAACAAATGACGGCATTTAATAACAACAGATCCTTATCACTGTCATTCCCAAAGATTTTTTTCCAGTCTATAGTTTGTCTTTTTACTCTTTTAACAAATCATTTTGATGAGCATAGTAATTAAGTTTTGGTCCCAGTTATCTATTTTGTCTTCTGCTATTAGTGCATTTATTGTTGTGCTTGATATTCTGTCATTTAAAAATACTAGATCCCATAGTTTCTCTCCTTTATTTTTTTCCAAGAACTTCATAATTTAGCTTCAACACTAGGTCCTTGATCCATTTTTGAGTTAGTTTTTGTGTATGGTGTAAGGCATAGGTCCTGTTTCATTTTTCTGCCTGTGGATTTAAAATTTTTCCAGTACCATTTGTTGAAAAGTCTATTCCTTCCCCACTGAATGGACTTAGGCCCCTTTTTGAAAATCAGTTGCACATAGATTCATCATTTATGTCAGAACTTTCTGTTCTATTCCATTAGTCTATTATTGATCCTCTCAGGCTGTTTTGGTTACTGCAGCTATAGAGCATGTTTTGAAATTGAAAAGCATCAGTCTTTCCGCTTTGCTCTTAAGAAGAAGGTTCATTAATCTTAATAAATTATCATATTGAAATTAATTTTGATTTTTAATACCTCCTGAAATTGTTTTTAAGATCGTTTTAAATGATTTTATCTAATTGTTAGGATATTTAATTTGCATCCCCCAAAGTTATCTAGACTTAATCTAAAAAATTTCCCTTTTCCCCCTAGGTATACTAACAAGCCACATGAGATGTTTTCAGGAGAGGACACCTTCTTTGGGGATGATTTAAGTGCTGCGAGCGACTCATCTTTTCTGTTGGAAGAAAACAGAAGTGACCATTTTGTTCATATTCCAAGTCAAATAGTTAAACCACAGAAATTAATGAGTAAATACGAAAATGATCAGGCTCCTGAAGAAATGGCAAGCCTCATTTCTGGTAAGGAATGAAAAGACATCATTGAAATGTTTAAATAATCTGGATCCTCATCTTTTAATACTAGGAAAGGATCAACTGTATTAAGGCTGGTATTAAATTGACTTTTTTCCAAGTTCAAGTTGGAGCAATTAACTACTGCTTTTATTGAAACTGAAGAAGTAAATGGTGACAGACAGACACCCACCACTAAGGAATTCACTGGTGTTCTCAGTAAACATCAGGAATATCCTGATGTTCTCAGTAAACTTTGATTTTTCTAGAAAACATAATTTAGAAAGTTAGTGTGATATCAGAAGAGGCAGTATAGAGAATATTAAAAAGCAAAAAAAAGATAGATGAAAATTAGGATTTCCACCTGGTTCATTCACTTGTAACCCTCTACTGAGAATTTGTATTTCCTCCCACATAGATAGAGTCCTGGTGTGGTACTGTAGGATAAACACTGGACTTCTAATTGCAAAGTTGGTGGTTCAAACTTCTTGAAAACCCTATCCAGGGTTGCTATGAGTTGGAACCAACTCGATGGCACTTAATAATGACAACCCAGATATACTGAATCAGAACATACATGTATACATAAGAATCAGCTGAGTAACTTGTTAAACTGCAGATTCTGATGTAGTATTCTGGGGTGGAAATGCAAGTTCTCATCAGGGGGTTCAAATGGAATGAACCTGTTCAAAGTCCTGCATAAATTCACTTTTAAAAGTAGGCCTTGGCTGGTGCTCAAGAGTTTGTGATTTCATGAGATCAGTTTTATTCTGGGATACCTGGAGAAAATAAAGGATTAATTCCCTCATCACCTACAGTATACCTTTTAAGGGAAAGTCAATAATAACTAGTCAGAATGTAATGATTTCAAACAAATAAGACACAGAATTTTCTTATTTTCTATATTTTCATTGATGAGTTTGAAATACTCAACAGAGTATTTGACCATTCTGTCTATACATTTAGAACCTTCAAAAACGCTCATCTGGCCAGCATGCAAATATTGAAGCATTAAGTCATAAGTATGATGGGTAAAGTATGCAAGGGTAAAAGAGGGCCAATTTCATGCTCTTAATATTCATTCTTAGTAGCTTCCTTGGATATTTTTTCATGTATTCAACACACATGCCCCCATAACTATAAATATTTGAACTTTATTTTTTAAACATCCAAACAGTCCTTAATAGAAAGCTTAACTAAGAATATATATATATTTTTAAATCATCATTATTGAAAACAAAGGCATCTTAGCTATAAAAAGAGTAAATATAGCGAATCTTGATATATGTAGTATGATGGCATTAGGTGTGTATTTTTTTTTTTTTAGTTAGAACAATTATTTTCTTTTTGTATAGACAAAGCCTAAAGAAGAGAATTAAATATTTGTTCTTTTTAATGGATGTTGTTAGTTTGGGATATTCGTTTTGATGAGAGGCTCACTATGATAGTCCTCAAGACAGAGGAATTTATTTTGCTGTCGTTTAAAAGACCAGAGAAGGTCTTTTGACAGAGTGTTAGGATAGCAAAATTGTCACTTGTGGTTGCTTTGTTAGATGGCTTTGTTTCCAAAGTCTAGTATTTCAAAGGGGTGAACTTTCTATGGAGAGACTGATATGACTACATATTAAAAAGATAAATTTCATCTTTGTAGCCATCTTTAATGACCATTGTTCAGTAGCGAAAGAAAGACTTTTTATTTGGCTTTTTAGATATCTGAGAATCAAGAGAAATTCTTGTAAGGTTCAATTTGGCTGAGGAAATAATTGTGTGTGCCTCTAGCAAGAAAAAATAAGCCTAAAAATGACGAGAGTCTCAGATGTGAGGACTATATATTTATAGATCCTTCAAAATAAATCCGAATATCTGGCCACAAGTGTTTTCTAGGGATTTGCATGGTTCCTTTCTTTGTTATCATCTAGCCAGAAGCCAAGAACTGCTGGGAAATTTTTGTGTAATGTGCTGGCCTTCTAGAGAGTAAATTGTGGTTGGGATAGTTTATTCAGTCACTGAGAGATGAGTTTTGATAAGTTCCAGATGTATTGCTCAAATAAAAGGTTGATAACTTTCACAAGGACCTCCATATACTGTGTTTATGTTATTCATTTATACTGTGATTCTTATGACTGATGGCTGACCTTTCTGCTTTTGAACTGAGAGGCTTGGGGGAAAGTCGGGAATCTTAACCATATAGGAATGTATAAAGTTCCCACAGTCCTCTCACAGTTGTACAGAAAAATAAACCGTTAATTGTCTCTTCTAGATATTTGTTGTTAAATGCTGTCAAGTTGGTTCCAACTCATAGTGACCCTGTATAGGGTTTCTGAGGAGCAGCTAGTGAGTTTGAATAACGGATCTTGCTGTTCAAACCAACCTTGAGGTCAAGTGCTTATCCTAAATCACCACACTAGGACCCCTTAAGTCTAACCCTACCTCTTCTCCTTCCTACCTGCCAAATTATTTTCAAATCCATCACCTTTCCTGGGCCTGCTCATTGTATAGAACAGCACAAGAATTATTTGTATCCAAATCTCCTGAAAATCTTTAGTAAATATGAATCCCTAATCCCTGCTCAGAACTATTGCTTCAGAATTAGGGGTGTGAATGGAGAGGAGAACGCTTTGATGTTTATAAAGCCCTGTAAGTAATGCTTATATGCCTTCAAGTTTGAGATTCATGATCTCAGTGGTTCTCAAAGTGTTCCCTAGATCAGCAGCATCAACATTAGCAGGTGGAAGTATATCAGAAATCAGATTCTTGGCACCTATCTCAGACCTACTGAATCAGACACTCGGGGGTGGAAATCAACATTCTGGGTTTTAATAAGCAGCACCGGTGATTCTGACAATGGTGCTTTGAGAACCATCCTACCAAATTTGGACTATGTTCCCAATGAAAAAGAAAGTAGTATCTAGTATCACAGAACAGAAATGTGACTTCCAAAGCATACCAGTTGTTACAACGAGGAATATGATTTTACTTTGCCCATCAAAGACCACTGTGCATCCATCCAACCAATCAACATCTAGCTAACAAAATGCTTTTAAGATCAAATTATATTGTGGTTATCTCTGGATAATATTATGCACTTTGACCTTGACATCTCCAATACAAAAGCTCCTTGGAAAATGCAGTCCCTCTTAATTACTTACAAGGGGAAATCTCTGAAATTATGTAATAAAAATGGGTGGTTTAATTCTAAGTTGTCACTATTAACCCAGTGGCTATCCTAACACTTTAGTCACAAACTCTATGTAATCCAATATTTAAGGATTACAATGTTTAAGATGGGCAAAATAATTTACTGTGAATGCTAAATGTTGACTCAAATTTAGCCTAGGGCTCATGAAGCTCCAGGCCTCAGGATAACTTCAGCAGATATTCTTTTTGTAGTTGTGCTTAAGGAAATTTGTACCGGAGTTTTTGGGTTTTGCTTCCCTTGCCCAAAGTTTAATATAATTCTGATCTACAAATCAGCTTTAAAACTAACAAATCTAGTATAATCTTTAGACTTTGGAACAGTCATAGTGTCTTAGAGCTAGAGAGGGTCTAGCAATCAACTGAGGCAATTCTGCCTTACTCCACCTGAAGAGACATTTTTCAATGTCTGGAGATACTTTTGTTTCAAACAAAGGGTGCTTCTGGCAACTAGTAAATAATCTATCATACACCTAGGTTGTTGTTGTTAAGTGCCGTTGAGTCGATCCCCACCCCATAGTGACCCTGTATAGGGTTTCTGAGGAGTGGCTGGTGAGCTTAAACTGCTGACCTTGCAGTTCAAATGGCTTTGCAGTCTGCAGCATTAACTCACAGTGCCGCACCAGAACTCCATAATACACCTATAATACACAGTAAAATATAAAACCTACAGTACAGAGGCCAGCCCCTACAACAAAGAAATCAAAGTCTGGTCAAACTGTCAATAGTGTGGAGGTTGATAAATCCTGTTTTAGGAAAAAATGAATTTCCCCAGTGTCATGGAACTAGCAGACCTAATACAGGGCCTCTGGAATCCTACACCTGCAGGATTTCCATTATACCTGCAAGATTCTGCTAATTAAAACAATTAAGACAAAATATAGTTGTATTGGAGTCCTGGTGTGGTGTTGTGGGCTAATGCATCAGACTGCAAAGTCATTTGAACTGCAAGGTCAGTGGTTCAAGCTCACCAGCTGCTCCTTGGAAACTCTATACAGGGTTGCTATGGGTCGGAATCGACTCGATGGCACTTAACAACAACAACATATATATAAATGAACCATCATATCTTATAAAATTAAATAAACCAAGTCCCAAAGATTTCCAGCAAGACGGCAGACTAGGCAGACAAGCTACCCAGGCCCTCTACAACAAAGACATGAGAAACTAAATGCCATAAATGTGAAGATAACCCTGAGCTTCAAAGGTGAGGAGAAAGAAGTGGATCAAAACCAATTAGAAAGAAGAAACTGAATGTAAACAGTGAAGAAGAAAACAGATGGAATGGTGAGTTACCCACTGGTCAGGCACAGCATGGTCATTTTGAACTTTTGCAAGCAATGTTCCAATTGAGACAGCAACCTGACAATCAATTCCAGTCACCCAGAACTGCACCAGCACCCTCACTGGAAGCTGGTGACCACAAAGGCACAATCTTCCTCTTATTCCACATACCCTCTTGGTGACCAGAAGTGTGACCAGCACCAACTCCTACCTACCCAATGGCTGATGATACATCTATCCCAGGAAGACTTTGTTCTACCTGAGGTCAGAAGCACACCCTTGTGGATTGGGTAACAGGTGTACGTTAACCCCATGTTTGGAGGTATACACTCTTAGTGTCCTTGCATTAGCAGAATACACAGTGCCGGGCTGGGTAGTCAGCAGGAACTTCTTATGGGATCAGGTATTCTACACTTAGGTGTCCTCTGGGCTGGCAGGAACTCCTTCTAGTAAAAGACACCCTACCACCCATGGCCTCCTTGGCTAGCAGTGCACACAAACCTGTATCATTGCCCTGCTTCTCTCTACTG